GGGCTTGGTTTCAGCCGCCATAATGGAAACCAACACAGCGACGTGTGATGGTGGCGGCTACTACGACGATGATCGGAAAAATGCGCGGGACGCCCGCTTTTCCGGTTTTTTTCCCCGAAACGAAACGGAAATATTATCGGCGAATTTTGCTTGTTATCATAACGATTTCATTTAGCGAGTATCATTTTGGATAAGCTCGAGAAAAGGAGGCGAATAAGGAGACGATCGGTCGTGGCGCGCATTCGGTAACGGTTTTAATTAAGATAATTAAGCGATAAAAAGGTGTTTGCGGGAAGTTGAGCGGTCGTGGGAGACAGAGAAGGACACGATTACGACGATAACCATTAAATGCAATAAGTTATTTCTGGCTGGCGGCACATCGATCCACAAGTACGTTATCCGATCGACGCGACGCGACGCCTTTTCCCGCCTTCTCTCAATAGCCGAACACTACTTCGGTCGCCACGCGATTCGCTCCAATCACGCCGTCTCTTCGTCTCTCTCCCGACCCGGCGTCTCGTATCAATACCCGAGAGCGATACGGCAACGGCAATTTCGGAGCACGGGCCGAAATAGCGAAGCGAAGAGTGCGTTCTCTTCCAAGATATCGTCATAGTCGTGGAAACGAGCGCGATTCCCCATCGGTTTTCCTCCTACGACCTCGACAGCTTCCCGCCTTTTCCCGCGCTCACCGTTCCGGAGCGATACTAATCGCGCATATATAGTTACTCCGGGAGGAGAAAACGCTCATTCGAAAATAGTCATTCTTTTCCAGTGTTTCTCATCGCTCGCTTTTACGATTCAACGAATTGATATATAATACTCGGTAGAATGAACGATAGACGTAATAGAGACGCGTCGCGTCTCTACTCGCGTTACGTGCGTGTGTCATTTACGCGGGGCCCTTTCCACGTGACGCGCCGGCGCTCCTTCGGTTTTCGCCTCGAAGCGCAATCGCATGGTAAATTATCGGCTAAAAATAAAGCCTATCTGCAACGCGCCCCCGACGACGCTCCCCCGTGTGCCGCGATTTAAGATGAAAAGTCGTGGCAACGATGTTTTCTCGAAGGTTCGTAGTTAACGCGTCGCTGCGCGCGGTCGCCAAAGCCGCGAAAAAGAACAGGGAAGCGCAGGAGAGTATACACCGGGTATATAATGCACGGCGTTGCCGCTAGTTGCGCAAGTGGGGTACCTTCGACGAAAAGATAGAAAGAGAAAGATGGAACAGCCGCTGCGCCGCGCTTCTACTTCGACTGTGTTGAGGACGGAGAGGGAGAGAGGTGGGAGCAAGAAGAGGAGGGGAAGTCCGGAGTGAGAGAAAAGGAAGCCTTCGTCGTAGTGTTTATGCACGCAGATCGGTAAACAATTTTCAGGGCAACGTGTCAACCTGGAATAGATATGCGTCGGTCGCTTATCGATCGACCGTCGTGCGCGATTAACCCTCTTATAGCGAATTATCGATCAATTACGGTAGATAGAGAGAGAGAGAGAGAGAGAGAGAAGCGCTTACGCGTGGGAGCGTAAAAGATGGAGAGAAAAAGGAAGAGAAAGGGAGAAACAGAGAGAGAGAGAGAGAGAGAGAGAGAGAGAGAGAACGAATGATGAACGCGGGCTTGGTTTCAGCCGCCATAATGGAAACCAACACAGCGACGTGTGATGGTGGCGGCTACTACGACGATGATCGGAAAAATGCGCGGGACGCCCGCTTTTCCGGATCGCGATGATAACATTGGCATGTAAAAATGGCGTCCGATCAACGAGGCACACCGAGCACGAGGTGGCGAGGAGCGAAAACGAAAGCGTGCGTGTCAGAGGCAGAGGGCGCGGAATTAAAAATCGCGAGGCGACAAACTCGCTGGACACGAAAAGAGACACACACATACGAGAAACGAGCACATGGCGCTAGCAGCCGTCGAGATCCTCTCCGGTTCCTTTTCTCACTCTCTCTCTCTCTCTCCCTTTCTATACGCATGCGACGCGTAGGGTTTGGCGTTGCCTCGAATTTCGAAATCGTGAAACGCGGTAATTATAGACGATTCCGGTAGGAGTCGTCATCGCCATCGTCATTATCATCGTCAGCCATCGAACGTGCGAGAAGGAGAGGGAGAGAGGGAGGGAGAGAAAGACAGACTCGTCGCGCTCGCGGTGGCCCCGCAAATATACAATGGCGTCCCTTGCGCGCTCGCGGCGAAAAAAACACTACGCACCGAAAAAGATGTTACACGCGGACGCGACGCGTCCGACGTCGAGCGTACTCGACTTACGCTCGGAGTGGCTCGCACAGAAATATGGAGTCCGGCGAACGCGGCGCGGCGCGGCACGGCGCGGCGTTCTCCCTCGCTACGCCGTACCATCTCGCTCGACGGCGCGAATATACGCGGCCGCCGATATACGCCAAGGCGGCACGATATAAAAGCGCTCGTGTTTCGCGTGCCCCGTCGACGATCGCACGGCGGCGGTCATGATGCGTCGTAGTAGAAAAGGCGAGCGGGCGGGAAAATCCCGGTATCGGCGGGCAATCTCCGAGCGATGAGCGTCGTCGATCCCGACGTTAACCCGACCGTCAGAGTCGGAGTCAGAGGAACGAGGGACCAACGGCGTGGCGCGCTTCGCGTATGTATGTATCATCGTCTCGAGAATGTACTAATTTTCGGAGCGAAGCGCGTATCGACGGAGCTACGTGATATGTTTGTACCGATATCCCGATTCTCGTCGTCCGGATCGCGGACGATGATATAAACGACGATCGTAGCACGGAGGCAGAGAACGGTAGATAGGTAATTAGGTAGGTAGGTAGGTAGGTAGATAGAGGTACTCACTTCGGCTGGCCTCTTGATCCCCTTGATGTCGCATTTCGCGTCCGCGGATGCCTTGTCGTTCTCCGTCACCTTCTCGACGACGACCTCGTTATTCTCCTTAGTGCTCATGTTGCTCGAATCGGCGACCTGCGACGCGTCGATAATCCAGAAAGACTCGCGACTTCGCGACTCGTACCGAACTCCCGGAGTGCGAAAGAGCGGCGGCTGTAGCGTGTACGCGTAACGAAACTACGGATACGTGTCCTCTCACGACGTCGGTTTCCGCCGGAATGCCTGAGAGAGCAGCGTCGTCAGGCGAAGACCCGAGAGGCCGCGAGGGAGAGGGAGAACGGGGAGGGGAGAAAGAGAAAGAGGGAGAGAGAAGAGGTACTCACTTCGGCTGGCCTCTTGATCCCCTTGATGTCGCATTTCGCGTCCGCGGATGCCTTGTCGTTCTCCGTCACCTTCTCGACGACGACCTCGTTATTCTCCTTAGTGCTCATGTTGCTCGAATCGGCGACCTGCGACGCGTCGATAATCCAGAAAGACTCGCGACTTCGCGACTCGTACCGAACTCCCGGAGTGCGAAAGAGCGGCGGCTGTAGCGTGTACGCGTAACGAAACTACGGATACGTGTCCTCTCACGACGTCGGTTTCCGCCGGAATGCCTGAGAGAGCAGCGTCGTCAGGCGAAGACCCGAGAGGCCGCGAGGGAGAGGGAGAACGGGGAGGGGAGAAAGAGAAAGAGGGAGAGAGAGAGAGAGATAGAGTGAGATAGATTGGAAGCTCGGGGGACGACGAGGGTGACGAGGGTGACGAGGGTGACGAGGAGGACGAGGAGGACGAGGGGATCGAGGGGGATCGAGGGGGATACGGAAGGGCGAGGGGAACGGGGTGGTGAGAGGCGGAGGAGCCGAACCAGTCAGGAGTGGAGCGTGTACCGACGACTGTGGCGCGAATAGCGCAAAGCGAACTACTACCAGATCACGGCACGCTCCTAGCACGTCCAACCTGGCTTTGTTCAAAAATGAAGATGGCGCGGGTTTGAAACCCGATAATTCCCTGATTGGTCGGCGCTTACGACGTCCCGTATACCGATGTTACCGCGTGCAATCGGCGATTTTATAGCGGCGTATAATGTTTCGCGACACCACGATGGGCTTACGCACGTAACGCGTTCGCCCCGAGTATGAATAAAATTAAAACTCGCGGAGGACGAGGGGTTCGAGAGTTCGTGGCCCGAGCGGGACGTCCGGTTCGAGGCTACGTCGCTCCATTCAAATAAGCCTTGGCGCTGCGAATCGTCCTTATACGTGGCTTTTCGACGCGACCGCGTCTATAAAATCGATAGATATTTTATTTGGAGAAACGATCGGGCGAGGGAAGGATCGCTGGATTCGCGCGGTCAGTTTCATAACTTTCACGCCTCACGCACGTGTCCCGCGAACGGTCAAAGTGCGTGTTGATGCGTGTGCGACGCGCGGATTAATCTATATAGATAGATGGAGGGGAACGACGCCAAATCTTGCAATCGTCGCAAATGCATTCGCGTGACCGGGTTGAAATTATAGGCGTGTTCAACCTACCTTTGACAATTGTCCGTATATTTACATCGCATTACGTAATCTATCTTAATTAAGCGAAAAAGAGAGAATTTAATCATCTCGTTAACCGAATGACACTCTTATCGCGCGATATCGTACATCGACAAAAATGTAATAGACATTCTCGACTTTCCCCTTTAAAATCGATATATACGTATACACATTTATTGTTTACTACACACGCACATACATTAGACGCTACGCGTCGATTAATTGTATATATATATATATATATATATGTTTATATACACGCGTTCATCGCATAGGATTTTGTCAGATGGACGAGCAGATTGTTAGATTGAATCCGCCTCGCGCGGAGCAGCTCGTTTATTTATATCCCGCGTAAGCACAAATAATAAAGGATAGCTTAATATAAGATTGCACTTATTGATTGGATGTTTTATATACCAATTTTGATGCCGGCTGAGTTAATGGCGTAAATCCAATCCGCGGTTTCGCGGCGACCGAACCGACATCTCCGTAGATATTTCTCTCGCCGCGTGTTTTAATACGCGAGAAAGAGATTCAAGATTCTTGGAATATTATAACATCGGTCTGCACATCGTATTAATATTTACGCATGTGGAGCGCAAAAAATGTATATTCAAGGTTCATGAATTTATTGCAACGTAAACGCGTTTGCGCAGACGCGCCGCGTAAAGTTCCCATCCATCGGCGCTTCGAACTTCCGGTCGAATCGCACATTTCCCTTTTCTTTCTATACCAAGATGGTAGGTCGATACGATGTTTTGACGAATCATTTTTATCCGCGAATATTTCGGAGATCGTTGCCGTTAAATACACCGCGAAATCCGCATTCGCATACGAAATATATTTATTGGAATTTACTGTAAATATCTTTTGAGACGACATGCGATAATTGTTACGTGACGGAACATAACCTTGTTAAAGCAGAACATGTTTTGATATACTGCGACGATACGATAACATTTCGTCAATTATTTAACAAGATAAATGGCATCATTATTCGGCAAAATTGTGGTATGTGATGTAATATCTGTTTAATCTTTGTGCGTTTTTTTTCCCATTTTTTAAAGGTTAACGTACCGAAGCAAAGGCGTACTTTTTGCAAAAAATGCAAAGTACACAAGACTCACAAAGTAACGCAATACAAGAAGAGTAAGGAGAGACATGCCTCGCAGGGCAGAAGACGTTATGATCGCAAACAGCAAGGTTTTGGCGGTCAAACTAAGCCCATTTTCAGAAAAAAAGTAAGCCCATATCCTTATATTATTAAAGATATTTAAAGATGGTTTGCAGTCTTGTACTACATTTATTAATGCATAATATGACTAGAAAATACTATCATAGACTCTTTTATTAACGTGCAGATTCATGGATGTTACTTTCTATTGTGTATACGTCTTTAGTGTTATTAATTAAAATGTTACAATATTGATTTGATTGATACCATCAATGATATTAACAATTGACACATGTATTATATTAAAGTAATAAAAATTATTTTTGCTTTCTATTGAATATATTTTATCATATATCATGTGTGCCTGTATATATAGGCGAAAACAACAAAGAAAATTGTATTGAGGATGGAATGTACGGAATGCAAGTACAGAAAACAAATTCCACTGAAAAGATGCAAGCATTTTGAACTGGGTGGTGACAAGAAGAGGAAGGTGAGTACAAACATATTTGAAAAAAATATTCAAATAAAGATAAAACATTGAATTTATTTTTAATTAACAAAATTACTGTTTTCAGGGTCAAATGATTCAGTTCTAAATTATCCACTCAACGTTTTCAACATTCTGTATTTAATAAGAAATAAATAAATTTACAGGGATTTGTATACATCTTTATTTGGATGGTTTGTGTTTTATAATGTGAAAATGTGCAACATGTCTAAACGAGCAGCACTAACGTCTTAATTCTTATTCACCTCGAGTCTCCCTGTTATCCGACGACCGTGGTATAGAAACTATCTATTGTGGAATGCTAACAAGATAAGAAGAAAAGGGGTACTAAAATGATATGTATCTCAGTATTTGCATTTGTCTTTTACCAAATATATAAAATAAATTGTGATTCGTGTACACACATATTGATTAATATAATTTTTTTTTTTTTTTTTAAGAAAGTTTTTCTAGGCACTGAGGATATTAACCTTAGCGTACAGGCTTCAAAGAGGTGCCTTATTAACGTCACGTGTCTCTATGTATATCATATAATAGCATTGTTATATTTCCGCCGTAATGGACACGCGCCTCGAGATGAAACTATTCGACGCAAGAGAAAAAAAAAACGCGATCTTTTATCTTATTAATTATCCAATCTGAATTTTTCGAGCTGTTAACGAGATATAACATTATTATTACTATCACCGGCGTAATCGCGTGAGGGCGAAGATGAAACGAATGACTATGATCAAATGAATAACAATGGCTATTTCGAGTCACGGTCGAGCGGGTCGTCAACGATTTCGACGCTTTTGTACCGCGCCGCTCGCATCGATTCGCCCTTTTTCTATTTCCCCGCGCGCGCAAAACCTACCGCGCGCCAGCCACCTAAAATGCCGGTACCATGTGGTGACCGTGGCCGATGTCCAAAGTAGAGGATGACGAATATAATTTTTTTTTTTTTTTTTTTTGGTATTGAAATAGCAATGTATGTTTCTCTTAATGATAGAGAATTAATATATTAAATTATATTTTACAGTTAATATTTAAATGTGAATATTGAGATATTTAATATCACAAGTATACATATTACTACCAATGTTAATCAAATATACCATAAATGTTACAATATCTGTATAAATGAAAACAGATATCACACTTACTCCAATATGGAGGTGTCCAGTCCTTCCTGCTTCATCTTTAATTTAACTCCTTCTTTTGGTACACCAAAATGTAACATTTTAAAGTACTTTTCATAGCGAGGATCTTTAGCTGCGGACTGTACTTCAGTCTCTTCGTCTTTAGGATCTACTTCACTGTTATCAGGCTCGTCCACTTTGCGTACTTCTACTTCCTCTAATTTATTCTTATCATTCTCATTAAAACTATCTGATTCTTTACGATGTTCTTGTTCTAAACCAGGTATAGAAGATAACTATGCAGAAGCAAAACAAAATATTGAAAAGATGTTAAACTCTAGATAATTTATTGCACAAAGATTTTTTTCTTTTATTAAAATTTCTTTATATACGCTCACAAAGTATTCACATACCCGCGATTCTAGTATTTCTAACGACGCTTCTAACTTTTGCAACTTATTTTCAAACTCGAATAGTCTTTCCTCGCAGCACAGGGCAAATTTATTCAAAAACGTAACGGTATGAGTAATAAAGTGATTTATGAAAGAGACCGTACGTTTTTGGTTGATTGGCGGTACCTAGAATACAAATCATTTCAAACATGCTCCCTGCACTAATTATCATCCCATTAAGCATTTTAACGAACGTCATCGTTCTCGATGGTGCGTTTATGCACGAGAAAGATTAAAATCTCCTTATCGACACCTTTGTGTAGTCTATAGTCGGCTCGATTATCGGTATCTTGTAGTCACTCATCGTGGATTACGGACGTGTAAAGTCTCCGTGTTTCCAGTTTACCAAACTGTCAATTCCTCTGTCACGCGTACTACGAAAACATTTCGCCTCACTGCGTAACGGATATGAAGAGTGGAAACCGCATTTGCGTCTCGAAGGTTCTGCAGGCCGATAACGAACGTCGAATCTGCGCATCGTCGAGGCGCTTGAACCTACATTGCCGATGGAACCCTCAAATAAACGAATCATCGACAGATTACTAATTTGTTTTTACAAAACTTTTCAAACAAATTTATATATATATATAAAAGGGCTCGAAATTAAATTGCATTCGGATAATATTATAACATACATATATTGATTTTTAAAAAAATTATCTTCTATTTTGCGTATACTCCCCTGATTGTGCAGAGAATTATCTTCATTTTTACAAATAAGAAAAATAAATTACAGACAGAACGTGAAAGAAAGTACATTTGTATAAAGGAGAATATTATTGTAAAGATCTGTTTGTTTTTGTTATATTTGCTGCTTTGCATATCTTTTCTCCAAAGAATGATTACACATTCTGTTTCGTCGTGTGGATGATCTGTTCGAGCTACACTCTTTAGCGGTACTTTTTTCCCAAATTTTTCTCCATCCCGTCTTTCTCTTCTCTCGCATATACACACATATATATATATATATGTATATTATATATATTCTTATTTTATAATTTACATTTTGTATTTGCAATTTGTACATTTTGAGTGCTTTAACATGACAGGTGAATAGAACGAAATCACTAAATCGCTTACGACTCCCCTGTCCTTGCACTATCCGGTAAAGGTTAAGTTCTCGGATCGGAGCGAGAAACGTCCAACAGTCCAACCCCAACCTCCAACTGCGGCAGTCGCGCGAGCGCACGCATCACGCATCTGTTTGTCAACCGGGAATCGGCTGTATGGAGATTTCGCGGTGTCCGAGTATTTTCTGAAGCATGGATTCGCCGCCGAGCCTGGAGACCGTTTACCAGGCCGTGTGCTCTTTATATAATAATACAAATCCGGCCGAGCCAGGAAAAGCGTCATTATGGCTGGGAGAATTGCAGAAATCGGTGAGCCTATATACGCGATTGTGTTTTACAGTTTTGAGAAGAAAATGAGTCCTTTTCATTATCTCTCCTCGCACGCACTTTGTTCATCTCAAGTATGCATAAGTGCAGGTTTCTTGTACCTTTGCGTTATCGGCATCGAGAATGAGTGTGTCGAGAGGCTAACCTGAAAGGGGGAACGTGTTATTATTGCCAGGAGAATATATTTTATTACATTGTAATAATGAGTGAATTAAATTAAACATGAAATCAATAACATTGTACCTTTTATTCATATTTTTTTTTTATTAGATTCGATGAATCTTTATATTAATCCATTTAATTAGTAATAGTGATATATGATATCCTTGACTCTACTGGATATACAATTTATATGTCATGTTTTAGGTTTTGTAAAAAGAATTTATCGTTTTGATACGTTTGTATGTGTTTTATAGGTATACGCATGGAAGATAGCTGATGAAATGTTGCATCAAAAACGAAATATAGAGTCTTGTTATTTTGCTGCGCAAACAATGCGTACTAAGATACAACTCTCTTTTCATGAATTACCTCAAGAGGCTCATATTTCATTAAGAGATTCCTTGCTGGAACATATATCGCAAATTAATGAACATACTAATTCTGCTATTGTTACTCAGGTCTTTATACATATTCTCTCATAAAACTACTTTTATATTTCTTGATAAATTTTTATAATTTTGCATTTTTTTGCTATTTAAGCGTTGCATAGTTTTTATTAATAGTTCGAAATTTTCACATTTCCAGTTATGCTTAGCACTAGCAGATCTGGTCCTACAAATGACATCATGGCAAAAACCAGTAGTGGATTTAATTAATAAATTTGGAACAAGCACTGCAAATCTGTGGCCATTGCTTGAAATACTGACAGTGCTCCCAGAAGAAGCAAGTTCAAGATCGCTCAGGTACAGCAAAATGTTTCATTTGATGTCATAAAAGTAACAATCAAAGAATTACAATTGTTTTATTTTTATACAGGCTGGGAGCTAATCGTAGGCATAATATGTCACTTGAATTTAATACAAGTGCAGATACTGTGACAGAATTTCTAGTATGTGTAATAACTATATATCATATATATAATAATTTTTTATCCGATAATGAATGGATGTCTTCCCCATTATTTTAATGTTAGTTATTCAATATTTCATATATAGTATAATTGCAGAAAATGTGCCTAAAGAACGGCAGTGATAATATACAAATCCGAGTGACTATTTTGCGATGTTTTACCAGTTGGATAACTGTTCATGCAATACCACTTGAAGCCATACCCTCGAGCGACGTAATTGCTTATGCCTTGCAAGTGAGTCTCTTGAGGCTGATAACGAGTTTACAGAAGAAATCAATTATTTTCTTTCCTATTTTATCAAATAATTTTATTTTATAGGTACTTAGCAATCATATGGCTGGTTCGCAATTGCATGAAACAGCTACTGACTGCATCTGCGTAATTTTGCAGACGCTAGGGGAAGATATGAATCGTGGTAGTACACTATATAACAATAGCGGTCAACTACAGCAAGTGCAATTGTGTGTTTTCACGAGTGTAATGAATTTAGAACAGCCATATCATTTATCTGTTGCACACGAGGATATGGAAAAGTAAATTCTTTGGTATTCTCAAGTATATTTGTAGCATAAAACAAGTATGTTTGTAGTCATTAAATATATTACAGATCTATAAATTACTGTCGAATATTCACGGAATTGGCCGAAACGTTCCTAGAACTTATGATAGCAGGTAGCGAAGGTGGGGAGCAGTTTTATGCCACACAGATTTTGGACCTTGTTCTTACATGTGTTGGTCATCATGATTATGAGGTAAATATATTGAAAATGTATAGATTTTGATTCAATATTATTAGATACTTTTTGTTCAATATAAATATTTTGGTCACTGATTATATAACATCTTTTGCTAAGGTTGCACAGATAACTTTTAACCTGTGGTATCGGCTATCGGAAATTCTTTATCAGAAAAATAGCGACGATCTTAATACTGTATTTCGGCCACATATTGAGAGACTGATTGGTGCCCTTTGCAGGCATTGCCAAATGGAACCAGACCATGTCAGTATTTACTAGGATTTTATTAAATGATAGCAATATTATATAATATGATACAAGCAATAGATTGGTAATTTTAAGAATTTACATATCAATTGCCAGTTGGGTCTTGTGGAGGAAGGAGGAGGAGGAGAGGAATTTGCTGACTTCCGAAACCGCGTTTCGGATCTGATAAAAGACGTAGTGTTCGTTGTTGGAAGCAGCCACTGTTTCCGACAAATGTTCTCATCGTTGACTGGAGGACCTGGACCACAGGGTCAACCTGTACATACACCTACCTGGGATTCCACTGAAGCTGCACTTTTTGTAATGCAAGCAGTGGCGAAAAACATTTTGCCGTATGTTCCTTTATTTGTTTATTATGAAACAAGACCACTTAAAGATTAAATATAATAATGATTGATTTTGTTACAGAGAAGAAAATGACGTTGTTCCGAAAGTGGTAGAAGCTATTCTTAACTTACCAGAAAATACTCACATAGCTGTACGCTATACCAGTATTCTCTTGTTAGGTGAACTATGCGAATGGATAGATAGGCATCCGCAATCGTTAGGTAAGACTTTAGTAAACATTTGTCATCAATTTAAATATATATTCCAATATAGCATTGTAATATTTTCAAAATTTTCCATTATTTCAGAACCAGTGTTAAATTTCCTCTTAGCATGTTTAAATCAAAAGGGTTTAGGAAGTGCCGCCTCAGGTGCACTGTTAAGCATATGTACAGCTTGCCCGTTACATATGGCCTCGCACTTCTCTGGACTTTTACAAATAGCACGTTCTCTTGACAATTTTGCTATCAGCAACGATGCAGCAATTGGCCTACTGAAAGGTATTTAATGAATTGTGTTATTTGCAAACACATACAATTACGAAATATATACATGACTTTATTATCTATTACTATTAATTTTCTCGCGTTAACGTGGAACTAAATGAGAAGCGCTACTTGTATCATATGTGTGTCATAACAGGAGTGTCGATAATTTTGGCGAGATTACCACATGAGGAAATTACTACGGCAATGCGAGAATTGTGCTGTTTTCAAGCGAGTTCCATATGGACGCTTCTCGCGGATAATATTCCAATCGAGAGAGGAACCAAGACTGATCCTGTGATATGGCTGGATAGATTAGCTGCTATATTTAAGCACACTAATCCTCAAATCGACGAACCCAATAAATCTCATCCTTGTCAGACTGTGGTCATCGAAGTGAGTGTTATTAAAGATAAGAAATCTTTGTAAGAAACTAATCACATTCATGCACGTTTGTCATTATTTATATTTGTAGATGTGGCCAGTATTGTCGAATGTGTGCGAAAGATATCAACGGGATGTAAGAGTCATGGAGAGATGTTGCCGTTGCATACGTTTTGCAGTACGCTGCATAGGAAAACATTCTGCCCATTTGCTTGAACCGATTGTGAAACAGGTATTAATTTTTTACCGTATTATAATTTTATTATTATATTTTCTCTTATTTAATGCAAAACGTCTTTATTTCCACACAGATCGTACCGTTATATACGGTACATCAACATAGTTGCTTTTTGTATCTTGGCTCCATATTGGTGGACGAATACGCGACTGATTCGGAATGTGTATGGAATCTATTAAATATGTTACAAGCTTTTATTGGCCCCACCTTTGCACTTCTCGAACAAGAAGATGGCTTGAAAAATCATCCTGACACAGTAGATGATCTATTCAGGTTATGCGCCAGGTGATTGTGATAACTTTAATTAATCGATAATACTATCGTATCTATCAATGCTTTTATCGGATTGTTTCATGCAATGTTTTTTATGCGATATCGTAATATTTCATTTCTTTTTACACAAAAGGTTCCTTCAAAGAGCTCCTGTCCCTTTATTACATTCTCCTGCTATCGGGAGCATTGTAGATTGCGCTATAATGGCTTGCAGTTTAGATCACCGAGACGCCAACAGTTCAGTAATGAAATTCTTTTACGATCTCTTGCATAGCGGTCGCAGTTATAAGGTAATTCTCTAAACACGTTGTGAGAGTAAACATTAAAATAAAATTCTTTCAACATGCATGCGACTCATAGATTTCGATCTACATCATATTTTTATCTATGTTTAGGATCGATCAGATTATACGATACGGCGACAATTGGTACAAAATATATTGCAAGAGAAAGGCCAAACGTTAATTATAAAATTATTACATGCTTCAGTATTTGAGCTGTCTTCTTATATGCTATCCGATGTGGCTGATGTCATTATAGAACTTACCCGAAATGAGACAGAAGTAAGTTTATTTTACCAGTTCTTATAATATATTTTTTTCGCGCATTTCGCATACTAGTTTTATTTTATATGTTTCAGCTTATGTCGAAATGGCTAGCGGAAGCTATCCTAACGATGCCATCGCAAAACGCAGGTGGAGCTCCTACAGCCACATCCGAACAACTTACTGAGTTTCACAATACAGTCACGAGGTACGTAGCATAATATATCAGTGCAAATGTAGTGCTTAATTTATACTTATATCTTTTTATTTTCTCCGATATTCAGGTCAGAAACACCAAAAACCGTTACACACGCCCTACGAAATTTTGCACGTCTGTACCGCTAAATGCGTTTATATAATATACATTATATTATATATA